CTGCAATGCAAGAGTTTAAAACTTTCGGTTAAAAAATGTTAATATAGCACAAAACTTAGAAAAGTTAAGCGTGAAAAAAAAAAAAAAGAAGAAAACTTAACCATAAATCGACACGGCTATCATATTGTTCACGACAAAAAATTTCAGGTGCCATGTAAAGAGGTGAACCACGGAATGATGACGTCTGTTCATTCTTCTTCAAATACTGCGAAAGACCAAAGTCCGACACCTGTGACGACTTGTTTTAAGAAGAAATTGAAGTGAAGCTTTTAAACAAGTAAAGTTCTAGATACCAACTACTTAACATACAGTTTTCAAAATCAAGCCAATTTTTAATTTAGACAACCTTGATAAAAGGTTCCCGTTGGTTGGTAAGTAAAATGTTTTGTGGTTTCAAATCCATATGCGCCACATTCATTGCTCGCATATATTGGATTGCCGCAGCTAACTGACGGAAACAAAGGCGCGTAATTGCTTCAGGAAGTGAGCCGTAATGTTTGATAAATGAACCTAAATCACCACCGCCACAATATTCCATAATGAGATATATATTGTTTCGATCCCATTGAAAATCGTATAAATGAACTATGTTTCTGAAAGAGTATGCATAAATATTTCGAGACCACAAAACCGTTTTGTTTCAAATCTCACAGCTACAAGATTTCACATCCTTCAAGAGTAGGTTCAACTTTTTTGCTATCTTGTTATCTCACAGTTTCACTTGTCTTCAACAGAAGTCTCTTTGAATCATTTCTCAATCTGAACCAAATATAAAGGAATGCCTGTGCTTTAAATTCTTCAAGATCCTTATTTCCGAAACAACGCAGTCAGAGCTGAGTTTTGAAGCATTTGCAACCTGCATGCTTATAACTTTAACTGCTACAGTGGTACGTATGCCGCTGTTATCCGAGGACGCAGATATCGCTTTGAAGACAGAAGAAAATGTCCCGCTTCCAATTCTACAATAAAATCAGCATATTGCCAATTCTACAATAAAATCACCAGTGAAAGGGAGACTAGAAAAGCATAATCAAAACGTGTAGTCAGGAAAGTATAGAATAAAATACACTTTTAGATAAGAAGCCTAATAAAGATTGTACAAAATTTGTTACCTCTCAGAAATACTGCATCCAGCAATGGTGCTTGGAATGTTGCACAGCTGACTACTACCACCTGGCATAATTTATTAGTAATGCATGTTTTCTACAAAAAAACCAATAAATCGATTTAAACGTTTTGTCAAAGTCATAAATCCAAGCGAAATTAAGTGATTAACGATAGTCTAGCTTACAGATTTACAATGGAAGAGTCCTATAACTGACAGTATAAGTTAAAGTATTTACAAAAACATTCAATGGGATGTAGTAGGAAGTGCATGAGCACAGGGTATTTGGATCGGAAGCTTACTTTGGATGGAAAAATAACGTGTATGATGTATTAGCAAAGAAAAAAAAAACACATTTTAATTTTGAAGTACTCGTGAGTTATTAATTTCATGATAAGCAGACATGCAGAACTATCAGAAATCGATAAGTCGACGCTATTTAAATCTCTATTAATTCCTACTATCCATCCACATCATATCATCTACACTCATACGTCATATCCTTATCATTTGATCCTCCTTCAGTGCACTTCATCCCAACATTAGCATCCTAAACTTCTGTCTGAACCCTTGTCTGTCAGTGTTATCCTCCGCATTCCCTCAAATTCTCGTCACAGTTTTGCACAATCATACCAATGAAGTTTCAATTTACGATGGTGACGAATTCTGTGTCACACCAGTTGCATCGTTGTGAAACATTAATATCGCGTTGGTGGCAAGCAAGATGGCGTGAATCTGATTAAGATAAAAAGAGCAAGGGATTTAGAGAGAAATGTGGAAGCGGTCTTTAATATCTATCAAAGCAGGGGATTGGATGAAGTGTATGAGCATTTGGATCGGAAGCTCATTCTGGACGGAAAGCTTCTTTATACAAACAAATGTTTACGCCTTTTCACGTTATAATTCGTAGATTAATTTTCTTTTTTTCAGGATTTCCGGTATCTCAGAATTCAATGGAGCTAAGCCAAAGAAACGAAGAAATTAAATCGTAATTTTTTTGGTGTTATAAGGAAAAACACCTGAAGTCGACTTGTACCTCTTGTTATCAGCAACATAAAGGCAAATTGAACGAAGCTCGATTTACTGTATGTAAGAGATTTGTCAATAATGGTAATAGTTCAAATAAGTGAAAAACCAGTGCCGCAGTGAATTCAGTGTGAAGCTTTGAACATACAACGCATCGTTTGCATTACTGAATTTGGCTATGCTGCGTAAAAATACGATCACATAAGCGCTAGTCTAACCAATGTAGTGTATAAATTTGATATAAATTTTTTTTTTGATAAAAAAACATAATGTGATAAAAATTTGATATAAAATAGAAACCAACTAGTAGACTTCTCATATATTGTGATCCATTTGAAATCAAAATTAATGTAGTAAAGTGAATTGCACTTGGGTAATTGCTAGTAGTAGGAACAGTGGAGACCAAGATTGGCTGGATAGCAAGTGGATGTTATCTTTAGTTTTCCAATCCAGTTCGAGTTGTATGTTGTGCTTCTATGACTGACTGAATGAATAGTATTTCAGCGGACAGCAAAACTTCTTTGAACACTGGTCAAGATTTTGCTTGGCTTCCCAAATCTAATGAAACCTCCAGATTACTGTTTTAACTCATAAGCCAAATTTTATAACCCATCATAAGATGTTCTTTCAGAACAGAAGCAGATATTTGGGAGTTAGAGAAGTGGAAGAGAAACAGTGGTACACATGTTCTTCTATAGTCTATGATCAGAAGCACTACAAATGCTTCTGATCGTAGACTATCACCACTGATCCAATTCCCTAATTTGTACTTTACCGACAACATAATACTTGAAGTACCTGTTCTTATTCGATGGAAATAACGCCCCTTTGAATCGTTTCGAGAATTTCGTTTCTTTCTTTTTCTTGGTAGTGACAAGATTTTCGTAATAATATCAACTCGACCGCTTCATCTTCCTAATATACTTTTCTTTCCTGTTTTCATATGTAACAAGCACTACAAATGCTTCTGATCATAGATTAAATTGTGCTGCGTAATTAAAACAGGTTAGAAACGTCAACTATTTTCCTGATCGTTTGAAAATATTAAAAACTTGTTTCTGTAGGTGACCCCACTCGTAGCTATCCAGAGCTGCGTTGTCAGTAAATACAAATAAAACATTCAAAAAGATTTCTATGCACTACACAGGATTTTTATATTCACTTTCTGATTTCAAGACAAGTAAGAGTACCCGCAGAAATTCATGTTTAGAAGTTTCTGGTTGGGAATCTTTTCGTCTAAGTTTAGTGACGACCATAACTGTCCATAGCAGTAACTGGAATATATATATTTTCTTCGAGAGATGAAATACAAGAAAGTATTGGCAGTTTATAGAAGCATGGTGATCAAATCCATGAATTTAGTTATCAACGTTCTATTAAGTTTCTTTTTTTTTTCCAGCCACTTCCGTCAACTAATCTATTGTTGATATTGATATCAGTGTTTTTCATCTCATTCGGTGATTATATGAAAATTACACTTTTCGTTTATTTATTTCGTCACTTACATTTTGCTTAAACATATATCTAAAGTTCTGTAATTAAGTAAGGAGCGACTAAATAAATGTGAGAAAAGGCGGAAATGAAGGTAGTTAGCAAGAACATAGAGCATTTGACAATGTGAAATATTAATCAACGTTAACAGGCCGTCCTTGTATATTTGCGAAGTATATTGTATCTGGAATATCCCGTTTCTTGTCGCACCGTATGTTGAAAGAAAAAATTACTGATGGAATCCTAAGAACAAGAGTAGATCCATCAGTAGTATGAACCTGTAGAGTTATTCAATAAGCCATTTGTTCAGTATTACGAATTATAAGCAGTAGTGTAGCAATGCAAAAAAAAAAAATAATGGGAAACAGTAATCGAAAAACAGTTGTGCTGTGTCAGCTAAAAAAAATCTTATGACTTGAAAGCGTCGATAGCAATCATTAATCTAGTTTTCCTTATCATTTTAATTCAGAAACAAGCTGGTTCAAATTAAATAGCGTGAGGTGCTCTATTCCCATCCCTCTCCTCACACACTATAAACACAAATCGAACATATGGGCAGTTTAGTAGATTTATTTATGTAATCTTTCGGAGAATTGCAAAGATGTGAGTAAGACCTTTTTATAGTACTAAACAGCGGGTGAAGGTAATCATATCGATTGTAGGTGTGGTAAGTTACTTGTTTCTTAAAGCCGTGTCTAGGAAGAACATGCAAAATTGGGAGGTCTCCATTGAGAAGTGCTCTTAACCGAGGCAATATTATCGATTGCGTGGTTATGATCATTTGCTCAACGATGTAAATGCCCCGAGGAGATTTAAAGTTAGAATTTATTCTGTGGAAGAAATATCAGAAGACAGATAACGACTGCGATGTCAAGCGAAGGTCACTGTTTAAGTGTTAGGATTGAAAGTCGCCAATGTTCTCTGACCGAAGGAATGAATGAACGAGTCTGCTTAAGTGACTAAATACTGCTACTTCGTAAACTCCCCACCTCCATATGATCCGTACACAGGAAGACATTGCGGGCTCACTAGACCAGGCTTCTAACAGATTCAGGTGTATGTATACTCCTTATCATTTACAAAAGAGAATGATGGCGCAAACTGCTCTGTCATCTCCTCCATCTGGACCCTCTTCATCCCCACCATTCTTTCATTGCCTTCATTGCATGCGGTACGTTTGGGATGTGGCTATCTATATCTATTTTCCTTCTCACTTTACCCACTATATTTGCTGTATAGGAATTGTAAGAGCACGCAAAGTATGAGGTAGTGAGGGGAGCAGAGGAAGAACTGAGAAAGTGCCTGAATGCGTTCCGCAAGAAAATCCATATCATTCCTGATAGTCGTTCACGTTTTTCAGTATAAGACTAGCTAGGAAATGTTCGATGAAGGAATTGATGGTAAATATGCAGGTAGAATACAAGCGCAGAGTGACAAAGGTTCTGGTAACAATGCTATTGCCGACAGGGATCCCAATGAACATAGCATTGGAAACTCTGATGAGGTCGCATATCGTCGTTAACTCCATTTATATGCACTATTTAACATTGAAACAGCGTTTCGTGAATCTACTTTATCGATCTCCTAATTAAAAATACTCAAAAGCATATACGGTTTTCATCCTAGAAATTTGTATGAAACTTCCAGTGTGTCTGAGCGTATCACAATTGCTTACATTTCAGAAAGTGAAAGATGAGGGATAGATAGACTGTCTGTCCATTGTCATCTTTTGCTGAGCAAATTTTGAGAAGTTTAGTGGGGAGATGATTTCTTGACTTCATCTTTCATCTCCAACAGCTTAATCAACAGATGAATAAAATAGAACTGTCGTACGGCAGTTTTGTAACTATTTACCAAAGGACGTGAACGCAAGTTGGACATCACTTTTAGTCTTGCATTTACGAGGAAGCAAGTTTCACTGAAGGGTGGTACAGTTCTGTGATGATCTTTTTTATGTTCAATAGAAACTTTTTTCTCCCTTGAGTTGATAATCCTTGCACTGTATAATATTCGTCTTTTATAGTTTCACAAAGATGTATTAAGTTGTTTAAATATTGAATATGCTACCATTTCCAATGATTCCTACCATTTCTAGGATGAAGAATGCAGCTCGACGTCCCTTATTGAAGAACTGGAAAAGAAATACTTATGTAATGTGGACATCGACGAATCAATTATCATGCTGAAGTCTATGGTTAGTATTGCAAAGTAGAAATATTCAAATTTAATTACATTAACTTTTGGTTATAGGAAAAGTCTAATAAACTGGTTAGTTAAATTCACCAGTTTAGTAATTCTACTTTGAATTTTTGAATACTCATGTTACTGGACTAGTGGTCATATAAAATTCATAAATAGAATGTTTGTGCTTCAAATTTAGGCAGGTACAAGTCCATGTAAGCTGGCTAGTGAGCATACTCTCGTGCTGCTTGTACTCAATCACAAATATATTAATCGAATTGGTGATAAGTGTCAGTTCATGTCAATCTGCAGATATGCTCGTGAGGTATACAATTCAACTCATTGGAAATAGCTCCAGAATCTATTTAGAATTTTAATCCTTGCTGTTCAACTGTATTTTTAAGGTAGATTTGGCTTGGAACAGGCTCTCATCGTGGGAAGAAATCACTGTCATTTTTTCTTTACCTAGACTGGAGGTATTAAATTTGGGATACAATCCACTACAGTCATCTTTGGCAGTATTAAATCTTCCTCTTGCCGTGAATTTGGAGTTGTTTATATTAAATGGGACAGATCTGCAAATGTCAACAGTGCGAAAATTGTTAAACAAAATGCCGAAATTGAAAGAATTACACTTGTCAGAAAACAGGTATCTTGTCATTTTAATTTTGCAGATTTCTGTATAGCATTCTTACTGGCACGCAGTTTTCAGAATTTAATGGAATGCAACACATTTTTTCAGAAATCTTGAAAATCATTTTGATGTTAGCGATGATGTCATGTCTAAATCATTAGAGTCTTTGCATGTGAGCAAATGTGATATCGAGCACTGGGAAGCAGTCACTTCTTTATGGAGATTCTTTCCAAATTTGACGTCATTATCTCTATGTGAAAATCCCATTCGCTCAATATCATGTAAATTGAAAGTAGGTACTTGTAAGTTTTTTTCTTCTTCAGTGGCGTTAAGCTTGTATGAAGATAAATGTGCTTATAGAGCGCTGATTCTCATCGTTTCTCGTATTATATCATTCTCATGTCTTCGGTAGGTTCAAAAAGATCTTTAATATGTAAGATCTTATGCCAAGCCTCGGAAATGTGGAATTGCAACGCCTCTAAGTTAATTAGTCAGCTTAGTTCGCTTAACAAAGAAGAAAAAAAAACACAAAAAAAAACAAGAAAAAAAAAGCTCTTTTTCTGTATTTCCCCCAAATGACGATAGTGTGAATCAGACGTTGCATTAATATCTGCATGTATGTATATTTTTTTTAGGTGATCTGAATTGTTTGAATGGTATTCGTCGATTGAGTTTAAACAAATGTCTGATCGATAACTGGAGTTCCATTGAACATTTATCAAATATAACTACTTTACAAGATTTGCGGATCATCGCTATTCCTTTATGGGAGGAGTATACAAATGATGAGCATTTCCATCTGGTCGTTGGACGCATTCCTCAACTAAAAATTCTAAATGGATCAGTTATATCGGCTGAATTACGAGAACAATCCGAAAGATTCCTCATAAGGTTATTTCCTTCTCCCATTATGTTGTAATGCTGTTAAGTTTTTTCATTACAATTTTCTCCAGTTGAATGCACTGCAGTGACGCTTATCTATTTGCTTTGCATATGTGCTTCGCATAAACGTTTGAAATGTGAACTTAAGCTTGGTTAATCTTGCATCTTTATTCTATCCTTTTTCATCTCATATAGATTTTGTCGTTGTTTATGATCATCATGTAGACAAATCTCTGATAGAAAGTATTTTACATGCTTGGGATATTTTGTATCACTTTATTTTGATATAACACTTTCTGAAACAGTGCTGAAATGAGCTGTGAAGAACTGATATTTTATATGTCATTTAGTATCTTGTTCTTTTAGGTATTATGATGTCCATGAAATTAAGCCGAAAATATTTGCTAGATTAATTGAGCGACATGGACATGTGGAACAGCTTTGTAAAGTTGATATGACTCCGAAAAAATATGCTGTTGTTGCCGTAATATGTGAGGAAACTGGGTAATCAATTTTTGCTTGGTTTTTCTACACAATTACCTATTCTCAGAAATTTTTAAGGAAGCCTTTTTTAATTTTTTAGAATTCCGTTTCAAAAAGAAAATTTATTTTGAGATACAATGCAAATCTGAAGATACGCTTAACGCAAACAGTCTCTTGTCTGATGCATATGCTTGAAAAATTAACAAGAATTCCTGTGAGACGTATGCGCCTGTTTTACATTAACAGTGGTAATCCATTCCCGGATGAGTTGCGTTTCCCAAGTCAAATGCTTCAAGCGTTGCATATCGAAGATGGTGGTAAAATCTGTGTCCAGGTATGACTGTTGCTTAAGCTACTGTAATTGTTATTTTGATAATATTTTACTGTCTAGGTTGCGAAGTCTCCTGGGGAATAACCAAGTTTAGCAGTTGCTGCTACTTTGTTCTTAATAAAGCACTGTCCACTCAGAAATTCGCACATTAAAACTTTCCCTTCAGTACTGATTTATGATATTGTTCTTAACTGTTAGTCCTGCACCTATACTGTCCTGTTATTTACCGCTAACTTCAACGACTATCGTTTGTATTTTTATAGCTTAAATTGTTTGATATAACTTATTCATTCAAGTTTTCTCGGGGTGTACATATTTTCTCTGGAACCGTTTGTCTATCGTTTTCCTTATTCGTTTTATCGTCATAATTATAGGTTGAACTGTTGCAATGACGAAGACCTTACAATCGCTTAACATTTTGTAGCAAAATTTTTACTCACATAGACTTTTCTTATCTCGGATCTAATGTGCTTTTCAAGAATACCCAATGACAATCGAAATATTGTTAATCATGCTTTTGCAATAATTGTTTTCAGTCGAAAATGGTGACTAGTAGAAAGGAATGTATTGCAAAGTGATGGTTTTATACAACGGGAACTCGGGTTGTGCTGCTTGTTTCTTTTCTACTAACTCGCTTTGTACAATTACTTTGTAATATATATAACTGATCTTAATCTTACAGCAGCTGGTGCTTATGATATTTTTATGATATGGTTCTGCTAAAATATCAGTCTTTTTTGATGTAGAAAGTGAAGCTAAAAAACAGTTTTTATACAAAGGCATTTTACTACATTGTTTTGATTACCACTTCGTAATTAGACTCGCGAGTTTAATCATTTTAACGAATAATGTCTCGTAATTGAATCCTTTTACGAGCGATTGCTAGTTTTAGTATTTTATACATTTGGAAATGTTGAATTACTCGTAATATTGGAGCACTGCGGTGAATATTAAAATTAGAGTTTGAAATTGCAATTGAAGTATGACAAATGAGCTCATAGGATAGGGAGCTTGTCCTGCAGTTATATTAGTGAATATTACTGAAAGAAGCTCTGTGACTTGGATAGCGTTAAATCAGGGACGTCTAAGAGGTACTTCAAATGCGGTTTACAAAGAGTTCGGGAATTTTTCTCAGTTATAGTTGAATGGTCATTGCTATGGCTATCAGTTTTCTCATCTTGGTGGCATGTTTTTATTCAGACCATGTCTAGAACGTAAAAGGCAGTCAGCCATATTTGTAGTAGACAGAAGAAGATGAATCGGAAGGAGCATGAGAAGGGAGAGACAAAGGATTTGATGGAGAAAATAAGAAAAGTCAGGAAAAGGAAATACCTACTGTTCGTTGTTGAGTTTTGGTGCTTCACTGCGAAGTTTCTATATAAAGTGGAATTGAAAGTATAGTAAGCTCCTTCATATACGCCCTTTATTGTTTATTTTGTTCAAAAACTCATTTAAAAAGATTTTATTCTTGGAAAAGGATAAAAATATCCGTCAAGGGAAAATCGCTCCACATTTTCCTTGTCGTTATTTTGGTGTGTTATTAGGCTTATGAACAGATACCATTTTGGGGACGTTCACAGCTTTTCTGGTAGCTGCTTTCTGCGTTACAACAAGTGTTGCTGACTGTTTATTAGCTATGTTCAACGTCCTATTTAGCTTCGTTGTTACCACTTTTTTGTTACTGTTGTCATTCAAACTATTTGGTACATTGCGACAATTTGCACTCACGTGATTCCATATTTGATCCAGTTGAGGACGAAGAATTTTACCGCAAACTCCACGAGGGATTTCAGGAACGAAATGGATAATACCATGAAGTTTTCCGAAATTTGGTACCTTATCTTGAAAATGACATTAGGTAAATCCTATAGCAAAAAAAAGATATTTGTTCGATAAACTGAAAATTTGGACTTAATTAAATTTGGATCTTAAATTCGATTTTAAAGTCTAGTTCTAATATTTTGATGTTACGCTCTAATTTGTCAAATTTTCAAACATTCAGTTATTTTGTGAATTGTGAAAGGTAAAAGTTTACTGGTTACATAACGTATGAGTTCGTTCCGTGTTAGTTGCTGATGAAGTTCGTTTCTGACAACGAAGGCAGTCGGTACTACCGTCCCAGATAAATATTCCCACTTCCCCACAACTGTACAGTCATCAATACCTGGATGGTCATGTAAGGCGCTCTCCACTTCTGATGGCCATAGCTAAATAGCAGCTTGGTTCTTTTTCAAAGTCAATTTATTTTTTTTATTCTTATTCGCGCAGTTAATGCTTAGTTATTTTCGAAAGTGGATTTCTGTAAACTGCACCAAATATAAATAAGTAGCAGATGAATGTTACTTCAACTGATTGATTAATTAATTAAATATCTTGTTATATTACTCTATCGCCAATACTTTATCTTGATATGACTTAATAGTGCAAAGTACTTTTCTCCAATAAAGATTTCGGGGACTGTTTTCCAATGCTGCTGTGAGTTAATAGTTCAAGTTAAATTCTGCAGTAATTAACAAGAATGACTAAAGAGACATACCAACAAATCCTTGCATCTGACAATGTCTTTCATTTTGTTTACTACAAAAATATATCCCATTTCGTCGTAGTAACCTGCATCACCTATAGAAATTGGTCATTACTACAGCATTAATGATTATTTGTACATCATGAGTCTAAAGAAATGTAAGTGGAACATACCTATCCAAGTTCGACTAATTTTACAAATAATCCACATTACTGTACCTGTTTTGAAGAACTCTGATACAAAAGTCGCGTTAACTTGTTCTGGATTTTTGTGCGCTGGTGTTTCCATATGTGAATGGTGGATAAGAATTTGGCCAAGTTGTCTCGGCATACAAGTTTCTTTCATTCCGAAATCCATCACCTGTATTTTAAATAGTTTGAGAGATTTCTAGTGAGGATTATTTATTGCTTTCAATAAACAAACCTTAAAACGTAGTCCAGGCATTGGTATACCAACACTTTTCAATGTTTCTTGACCGTAGGGTGCAAGAGAACAAATTCCACCAGCTTTTGTTATTGAATATGCTGAACATTTGCAGTGGAATTTATGCATTAATTATATTTAAACCAGATTTATGGAATTTAAAAGAAATAAGTAGCAGCCAGAATCTGTTACAAATAGTGAATCAGCAAATTTTAAAAGTCCGATCCAAACATCCATTTTATCACGTTAGCTTTTACTGTTGATAGTACTACGGGCAATATTCTGGTGGCTCTTGGATTTAATTAGAATGGTGAAATCTTAATTTTCGAGTGAGATACTGATAATTGTGGAAACACAAAGTGGTCCATTTTTGTTGCTAATAAATTACAGTAAGTAAGACAAAATATCTCTTATTTTGAAACGGATATTAATATCAACCTTGTCGGAGATCTTGCAGCTTCAACCGTTCTTTGCATAACTGCATAGTTGCCTCACCAATTGGTGCACCACTTGTAACAATGCTTTTTAGTGATTCTAAGCCATCTTTTTCTAAGTTAATATCCTTCGAACATTGATGTATGAAAATTGGGATGACATAAGCCATTGTTACCTTTAATTTATTCAAAGACTTAGATTCTAGATATTTGAATTCCAAGCATTTCCTTATCTGTGTAAAAATCATGATGAACTAACTGCTGGTCGGGATCATTCTTACATACAGTAAAAAATATTTGTGATGCAAAAGAAGTGCAACATCCACAAATTGAATGCTGCTAGATATTTTGTTGAGATATGAAAAGGCCTTACTTTCCATTTTTTGATTATGTCAATCACTTGACGTGGGTTCTGTTCAGGTGTTACAATCAATTGTGCGCCATTTTTTAATGCTAAGAAAGCGGTTACAAGCCCAAAGATATGATGGATATTTGTTGCTAAAAAAAACTCTCGATAAAAGATACATTTCATGTCGAGCTGTGGGAAACTAATGCAACTTAAGTCCTTTGTTGAAATTCAGATATACTTGATGAATTTCACCACTTTCACTAACAACTAAGTTTTTTTTTTTACTACTCTGCTATATAATTTGGCAGCTCTCAGCTGAAAGTACGAATGTTCTCTAAACTAGAGCATCAGTAAAAGAAAAAAAGCAATAAAAAAGTAAAAAGTGAAAAAAAAAGTAGAAAAAAAATAGTAGAAAGAAATCATCAGTAATAAATAAAGAATAAAACTGGGAATCAAATAAGATCGGATTAAGTAAGTCTAATAAGAGCTAAAAAACAGAATCAGAATTCCATATGAAACGGTTATAAATTTGTGAAAAGCAAACCAAGCAGGCATTTGTCATCAACTGATGGTGGTCCAAAGATGGGACAACTCAGTTGTTGGAGGTTATGAAGTAGGGAATAACGTGATACTTCAGTTGGTTTTGGAAATTTTGCTGTTTTTGTAAGATGAATAGCTCTTTTTTGGAATGATGCTGCCAGAACTGAATTTGGTTCTGAGTCTGTGATCTGCCCTTCATCCTGATCACTTCTTTCGCTTAGTGATAAATCCTAGATTTTAACGAATTGATGATGGAAATGATAACATATCCAAAAGATTCAAAAATTATTATCAGGCTTCTGATTCCTGCAATGAACAAATCAGTTAAACTGTTATATATAAAAAAAAAAAAAAAAAAAAAAAAAAAAACATTACGAGTTGAAATCGAAACTCACGGTGCGGAATACTTCGTGCAGTTGTCGTTTATTCTTTAATTTCAGTTTAGTTTGAGTTTGGCCTGATGGTACCAAACTCTCATGACTGCAATACAATTTACTTAAAATGAAATCTATTAAACTAAATCTACTTAGGCTGAAAATGGAGGTGTAATTGGTATTTTTGGGCTAGCTTGCTTGTAGTAATGATTAGATAAGTCTCATCAGATTCAGTTGAGCCAGGAAACACTTACTTTATAAACAACTTTGCACTGCCAAAAATTTCATCTAACAATCGAACTGACTAAAAAGAATAATCTTCTGTAGTAACTCAATCAATATTTTCCAAAATAAAGTTTTTTATAAAAGGATCGGGAAAGGGGGAGGGGGGAGAGGGTTGAGAGAAAAAAACAAGAATCAGACTACTATCTTACATAAAATTTGACTAATGAGATAACAATACCAGAAACAATAATAAGGTCCGAAAAATAATTCGCAACCATTAATGTTACATTATTGTTTACATTTGATAAATGTTGAAATCAATCTTCTTCAAAATAATTAGTTAAAGTAAAATTGAGATGTTCAAGGATGGTTAAGAGCAACAAAATAATGATTGTTGTTGCATAGTCTAATTTAGGATTTTTTATTGTTTATTCTTTTTTAAAAATTTGGTCGTTCTTTCTTTAAGTCAATTTAATATAAACTCAATTTTAAGTTTTTTTTTTTTTTTTTTTGAAAATATAATGAAACATTGCTAACTAAAATACGTCTGCCACTGAGAACAGCCCCAGTACGTCTCACATTTTTTAATTTTGACAATTTGTTTTCTTCGGTGAAACAGTACACTACTTGACTCTTCTCCAGTTGAGCCCATATTTCTCCTGAAGATAAAAAAACAACTTATATGCTGTAGAAATCGGAAATTTACAGCATAATTGTGCATATGAATTCTTCTAGAATAGGTTACCATTCATTTTAACTTATTTCCACTTGACTCCTCGAGAAGTAGTCATTCCGTAACCTTCAGGAGGGATTGCTCAGATTCTATGCCATGTCATTACATCTCTACATCATGATGAATTTCAAATGCATGACCTTTTTTATTCCAAATTTAATCATAGAAACGCTTCCTAATCAACAGATAAGAGTTGACTTACCGCGGGGCTCTAAGAATTCAACGCAACTTCTATTGTGGTCAGCTCGTGCAAGTATGGGATGTAAAAGTGACAAATTTCATGTCCCGTGAACCTGAGCTTGACAAATGGATGTTACGCAATCGCATATCTATGTCCGGTTATGTTCAACCATGTCCAGTCTCCAGAAGTATTTCAGAAAGTTGATGAAAACGCACCTGATGTTAAGCTAGGGTTCACGGATATAACGGTCGCATCCAGCATTGCGCATGCAATATATACAATAATTGCCTGCGCCGTCACTGAGCAGATTAAAGCACATCGGGTTCTCTGACCAACACCAATTTCTTGCAGTCGTTGAGCACAGTTCTCTGTACAGATTCGTAGTTCAGAATAATTCCATAGTCTACCACTTTCCAGGTCAACCTGTAAATCAATGTTTTATAGTCTTTGCTTTATTTTTGTTTTCTTAAAACAGCATATCTGTGTCATTCATTTGTGTCCCTTCCTTTTTTGCATAAGTGAAGTCAGTTCAGACCTTAACTTACCGGTTTTTTTGATATTTCAATTAATACATTATGTAAGATGAATGAGAGAATATTTGACAATGACCACGTCCATCAGAAATCAGAAATATTACATCAGAAAAAAATAAATATTACAATGGGGAGAGTTTTTTCCTTACATTCAAATTTTAATCTTAAAAATTTCAAAAGGACAGATTACCATAGCTAAATTGCAGCCGTATTCATCAAATTTATCAAAAAAATAATCGGTAAATCCGTCGAATTTAACTTGTTGTAAGGTAATCTGAAACGGACACTGCACTTCCATCAAGAGAATCTCAGGATTTTACCGTCGCTGAAGTGATATTATAATTGAAGTGGGCAGATAATGTCGGTTAACTTCATATAAGAAAATTATTCTAATTGTTCCTTTTTCTTAGCCCACACTTTTTTTACGATACAAATAAATCATCACTATTATATATTAATGGCTTGGTAAAGAAATTTGTCTTGAATGTTTGCTTGAAAACTGAGAAAAATTCAGTTTTTGTTCTGAGAATTTTTTTTGAATTGACATTTGCGATTTCAAAAAAAAAAAAAGTTTGTGAAGGAAAATCTTTTTTTGCACGACATTAAAACTGTAGGAATTAAAACAATCAAATGCAAGAAACGAAAACAATGACGTGTCATAAAAAGTAGAGGAGGGCTACTCAAGGCTAGAAGTTTATATCTGAAGTCAGCAATTGAGATTCTAAGAATTCCAAGAGAGAGAAGTTCTAGACAAGGGCGTCTTTGGAAAGTTGTTTAAATGTGTTCGGTAAATGAATCAAAAAAGAAATACACGAAGTCATACATGAAGTATTTCATGTGTTTTCTTATGTAAAATTAATTTGAAGTACAATAGTGGATATCTTTCAGATTCATGATAAAAAAGTGATAAGTAAATTTATAAAAAGTTTTATAGCAGAGCTGACCACAAATGGCATTTTTGTATATCTTTAAATCTTTCTTAAAGCATTGAAGGTAATTTGGAAAAACACAATCCTGCAAATTCAAATATAAATTTAGATCATGGTCCAATCTTCAATTAGTAACTGGTTCCCTTAGAAGCCATCCTGAGAATAGTTTGGGTACGTAATGAAATAGTCACAAATTTTGCGAAGAACCTCATTCTCGCTACCAACTTGCTATCCTTGCTTCTGACTTCCAAATTATGACCCATGTTGTAACTTAATAAATCAAACTCTTTCTTCTATTATTTTTAGAACAATGGAAATGCTCAATGGTGAATAAAGCACTCGGTCTACTAGAAATCACAAGAACAAAATCGTCTATTAATTCCGTTTTGTTTCAAAAATCAACAGCGCTTCGCTGAAAACAGTATTGTGAATAAACGTGAAAGAATTTTCCTGGTAATGGAGATTTGAAAATGGTAATAGAGCATCTTGGGATGATAAATATTGTTTTTATATTTTGACAATCTTTTTTTTAAAGTGATACTTAAAAATGCATTGGAAGTTCTTTAACATATCTCAATGCATAAATGTATTTTAGTTCAACATAAACAGAGTAGATATTGAATATTAACTTAAAAATTCCATGCATTTTTGCTAACTTTGATCAATGCCACAAGTCGGTCAAAAATTTTTTATGTGGCGTATAAACGGCCAATTGTGACGTCAGGAACAATTTTCATTTCATTAAGAATTCATTTTATCTTAAAGTGGAGGCATTGATCAGATTTTTTTCAGCTAATTCATGTAGCAAACCTAATTTATGAGCTACGTTAATGATACTATGCACAGTTTTACGGCTGGAAGCCCATCAAATCTAAACATCTGATATTTTTTAATAAATATTCACATCAAATAAAAGAAAAAACATGTTTAACTTTATTAAGAACATATATATACTGAAGTACAGTGAAGACTGAAACGAAGACAAACGAAAACTAAGAATTGTATTTGCTTCGTCTAATGACTTGTGATGCAACTCATTCCTTTGATTTTCTAAACATGACGACATAAGAATTGGGACAAAAAAAGAAAAGACTTCCAGTGCACATGGATACCACATTAAATTTTAAAATCTTTTGTTTATCATACATTTCCATAATGAACTGATTCACGATAATATAACAGACAGTATAATTTTTCTTTCTTAAAATCAACACAAGAGCTCAAATATTTTTAGAAAAGAAGGCTTTAGCATGCTCTCGAAGTGTTAAATTCTATAAAATTCTGCAAATTACTAAACAAACGCAGCTGAGAATCCAAGAAAACCATTGTTGAAAATTCTATCCGTGTTGGAGCAATAAATCAATTGCAACCATATCTATTGGTGTTATATTTACAAGTCATTCGATTCCAATCAATTTATGCAGTCACCTGGTAAATTTATAGCACAGTTGACTTAAGCAATTCAACAAAACATTAAGGCCACAGAAACATAAAGAAATGCCGGTTGCATCAAAATTTCTTGTTAGATGAGACATTCATCAAGTAATCAAAATTGTTATTGATTTGTAATTCCTCTTCTTTGTAGTTGAATTATTGAGTTCTTTCTAATGTCACCAACAGTATCTAAATTTGACAGTCTACTCTTGAATTTACTCTCCATTGTCTGATGTCATTTTACTTTTAGTATAAGCAGAGGTAATAGTAGGAATAACAGACAAATCAAACATTAGTTTCTTTCAATAATATAGGTACAATGGCAGCGACATCACTAGTTGATGGTACCAACAGACGGTGAATACAGTTCCTACGTCGATGAAACATACGATAATACTTTCCTCCCGGTTTATCATAACTCTTGTTTTGCATAATATATCCATCTTTCTCCGTAATGTCACCAGGTAGTATCTGAACTTTAACTTTTGAAGAATTGCGAATAAATGAAAACAGTAAATGATTAAAAAGGATTGAAAGAGATTGCAAAATTTTTTGCTAGAGCACCTGACAGCTCAAAAATTACTTTGATATTACTGCTCTTTACTAAACGCTGCACTGTTGGGCTCAGTGGTTCATAGAGTATATTCTTCTGTTGATAGTGCAAATCGGTTAATATGTAATCGACACCCAGTTCTCGAGCCTGCTTCTGGTTCAGCACTGCGCCACGAACTTGGACCAGTTTACCACCAGCTGTTCTAATAACTTCAATACCAGTATGTTTCAGTAAATGTTCACCAGCTTGCAAACCTCTGGAATAAAAAGAATGCATAAATTTTAAAAGCTTTTTTTATAAAAACTTTAAAAACGCAAACAGAAGTGAATATCCTGCAAAATCCACAAAATATTCAAAATAATTTAGAATTATAAACGACTAAATAACGTACGTCATTACAGCTCCTTTTGCACCTTCCATTTTTGTGCCTAAGTAATGGATTTTTCTGATGTATTCAGTACCAGCAAGGTCAATGCACATTGTAGCCCTAAAAATAATGTTGCAGAGAAAGATGCTATAAAAGTTTTTCTGCATAAAAGAATCTATTATTTCGATCACAAAGTATCTAACTGACAAATCATAGTCATTTGCCCATGGTTTTAAAGCGCAAAACAAGCATGAAACTCACAAAGCCAAGCCGAAGATAATATAAGCCATCGTAAAAAACATATACATTTGCTCAGTTGGCACAATGTCACCGAAACCTATTTAAAATATATGACCATTAGTTTAAACAGATGAATAATGATATGCACACTTATTTTCTACCTTCATTCTTTCACAAAAAACTTACCAACAGTGGCCATCGTAATGAAGCAGAAGTAGAAGGCATCGAAATATTGCCATCCCTCCCATGCTCGAAACAGTAAGCCACCTATTGCTGTATAAGCAACTAATACAAATAGTACCATTACAACCGGAATACGTAATTCATCCTGAAAATGAGGAAATGAACAACATGAAAAGAAACACGTATATGGGTTAACAATTTCTTACACATCATACTGGAATTTCACTTCAATAATCCTATTCCAGTTAGCAAACATAACGTACTGATTTACAGTAAAGGTATATCTTTATTATCCACTTCGTTTTCCAAAAGAGTATTAATTAGGTAGGAAAAACATACAGAGGATCAAACATTGACACTGTTTTCTCAACAACAGTGGGAACGAAAATGAACCTTAATCCTTTTCCACAATGGTATTCATTTTAGCGTGCTTTTCTTTAGAACTGGCCAAATAAAATCAATAAAATCAAGGAACTTTACGACATCAGTCTTTTTAACACCTATTTTAGAAACAAAAAGATACCTCACAACTCGATTCTGAATCACTGTCGATGCTATTCAAATTCATGCTTCCAGCTTTCGTTGATACAGAACCACTCTGTGCAGAAGAGCTCCGATCCCGATAATGATGTGATATACGTCGTGATTGTTTACATACCTACAATTCCAAAGATTTAATGTTTCATAAAAAATTACTTTTAACTTAATCAGCTTATTTATAATACGAATAGCCCTAACCTTGCGTTTGAAAGTTCGATAGGTTCGGTAGAGAAAACTCAAAAAATCGGACAAAAATTTGCCTATGTCTGCTATTGTGACCAAAAGCAGGGGAATACCAAACAAAGCGAAACATATGCACGCGATACGACCAAATTGTGTTGCTGGTACTAAGTTACCATATCCTTAAAATGTAAAACATTTGTTTCTAATAGGTTTCCAAAATTTGGATAAACATTATCAGTATCAATGATAATCAGCAATTCTCAGACTTAATAGAAGAAAATATTTCCTTTCACCAATAGATGCTATTTTAAAGCACTTTGTGCAATAGTTCAGTGCAGAGAAACTTTACCAATGGTGGTAATAACAGTTGTGGCGAAAAAAATACTATTCGCATATGTCCATAGCATGGCGTCACCGTTCGTTTTATTTAGTAAATGATTCTCATTGATAAACTGATTCCGGTATGCTTCGAACATCGCAAGTACCAGTGATTCGAAATATTGCTCTCCAAGTAAATCCAATGACTCGCGTGTAAAAAAACTATCCCCGCTGACTGTTAAATTCCAAACCATATCATGGAAATCCTTTCGTAAGCCAAAAATTGCCCTCAGTTCGCGGTCGCGAGTCTGCAGTTTAAAATTGGAAGCCATTTAAAAAAAAAAAAAAAAAAAAAAAAAAAAAGTTCTAATAAAAGCAATAGTGACTTAACTTCAAACATAAACAGGGAAAAAGCAAGAGAAAGGATATTGTAGAAAATGAGATCTCACATCCATAATTTGCTAATGGTGATGAATACTACATTTAACAAAAAACTAATATCTTCTGTTCAATTTTGGCAGAATTACTCAATTCTGAATATCTTGGATTGTTATTTTGCTCTACTTATTAAATTATAATTGGCTCCATTTAACTACAACATTTTTGTCACTTTTGTGGTTCAAATAAAAATGAATCAAATAATTTGCACAAAAAGAAGTGAAGGAAGATTAATTATAGAACCGATTCTACGGTTAATATGCATACTGAATGTTTTATTATAAAAGAGTATTTTAGTTATTTCGAAAAGTGAGCTTGTTTTATCACTTAAAAACATTCAAAAATTAAGCATAAACATTCACTATTGTATTAACATTTCAGACATTATTTGCTTTCAGTCATGTCTAAATGTATAAACTGTAGCTCACTTCGACTTCATTTGGCGCTTCTAGATAACGAAACACTATAGCGCCAAGCAAAAGATATACAATAAGTAACACGACAAGACCAACATGAGGTAATATCATTCGAGCATACTGTAATATAATCAATTTTCTTCCGAAAGTATGAGAAAGTTTCACACTAAACTTCCAAAAACTACAGTGATATATTTATGATGACCGAAATAATTAAATATATCTAACTGACCATATTATGTAATCTTCGACATTAACTGAGAATTTATCAACCAAAAAGTAACTTTCTAATGGACAAATATGATTGAAAGCTAATTTAAATATACCATAATCGTTTTAGCTTGCGCACCGGACTGCTCGGTGACTGACTCATCATCTGATAATGGTGGACCAGCCGCCGTAAGATCCATTTCCATCGGTATTTCGTCACCATTTGAACTATTCCCAGAGTCTGACCTCTGAAGTACTTTCTAGCTTATGACCAAAAAAAAAGATAAATGATCATATGATCATTGGCTACAGAAATAAAAAAACCGAGGATCACAAATTTTTTTCCTTATTGTCTTTTCAAACAAATAGATGATAATTATTATGTTATAGACAAAGAAATGATCAAAAAGACGAAATCGGTTTAAAGCATTTTGGAAATCCAATTAAGATTTGAATAAAAAAATCTCAAACATTTGTGCTGAAGAATCTTTACTATTAATTGCATCTAATCTTCTAAAAAATATTTATATTTGAAGGGTGACATGACATATCATATCAACAAACCAAATAGCATGCCTTGGAAGTTTGCAAACAGTTAGCAGCTTCTTTACAGTATTTTAGGCAGAATACCTAAACTCAATTTCAGCAATTTTATTCCCAAGAATTAAACCAAATTTGCTCAGTGTAGATGTCTGAAAAATAAGACTTCATCTCCTGAAAGGCATTGGAAATGTTTTTTAAAAAACTGTGTTTTGAAAGATGAAGTTTACAAGCGTTACTTTCATCAGATTCTTCAGCACTATGATACAGCTCCTGCGAAAACACAGTTTATCCTTTCCATAAAACTTTTTAGGTAAATCTTGTAAATAAATCATTACTCAAATGCCTATTAAAAAAATTAATAGAATGGAATATTAGTAATAAGTGCTCATTTTATTCAGTGAATCAGCGGAAATGCAATGTCAGAATTTGCAATGCTTGGTGATTAAGTTGGTGCATATTTTGACATATATAAAAAGTGTATTGAGAAGCTGTAGCAAAACACTACAGGAAGAAAAAACAAATTGAAATAAAAAATAATCCACATTTACATATGTGTAAAATCTGCTAAAGTGGCATTTAAAAGTTCAGAACCGAAAAGGTATGAAAAGATTACTGAAAGAGTAATAGCTGAATGTATCGAAGAGTAACTTACAAGATCGAATTCGTCGTTCTGCACAAAGACAGTATCACGTCTCATTACAGCGGATGTTTAATTATTATGCATGAAAGAGTTGATGAGTGACGTAAGTGAGGAAAAACACATTTGCATTAGTCTCTTTCTATCAGCAGCTGTCCAAAAGTCTAGCCTACAGCTGAAGCAACTTGTTAGCGTTTTCCTCTATCACTTCTTTACTGCTCATATCCACTGCATCTGTTTCTTTCCTCCTCAGGTCATTTTGATCTGTTGATTTGCAATCATTCGCTGCTACTACATCACTTCAAATTTGTGATGTAAGCTTTATTAAATAATCCTATTGCTTATAATTATTTTTTAAAACTTTCCATATCACTTCCTGTGTCAAATATAATCAATCAGTTATGCGAAAATTTTACAACTGGTAACAAATCACTATCAAACTTTCGAAGATATTTTAAATGCTCTTCGTTTTCTCTGTTCTTCAATGTCTTACTTTCCATAAGCAATCGAAATCTTCCTATTTTCTAGTTACTAGAACCAGAGATATATAATATATTGCAAATGTACAATGTGTTCTGTTCGTTCAAACATTACTTTGATTACCGTCAACGCAATAAATAAACATTTCAACTTTGATTGGCATTTGTTCTTTAACTGCAAAAGCGCATAATAGAATTATAATCAAGATTCACGCAGGTAGCGCTACAAGTCGCAAAGCACAACAACACTACCTGAAGTCCTCAAGAAGTTATGGATTTCAAAAATATCTTCGCTCATTAAAATAACATTTTTTTTTTTTTTCATAACTACTGTCATTCTACAAATATTGTATTTCTAGAAGGGCAGAGTAACTACGTATGTCAACATAATTAATGCAATCATTTCCAAGTAACGAATTTCAGGATTTCAAGACCATGCCATTAAATATCAATCATTCTAGAATGTGGTTCATAATGTGAAAACGAGTGGTAGGAATGAACAGATGATTAAAACTCACATTAACTCCAAAAAGAATATTTTTTGTCAGCAAACTTCCAGGATTTTATAACTAGAAATATACAAAAGAAGTAAAAATGACAAATGTCACCGTTATCTTCAAAACCAAGGATTTGCACCAGAAATGGAATAAGTTGCTATTGAAACTATGATAATCATTTCTGTATCTTTTTAAAAACAAAGCTTCAAGAGAACTGATTCAAGAAAGCCCAGTTCGATGTACAAATATATCGATTTAGACAACAAATAAATTCCATAAAAACATATTGCATTACTTACTTAGTCCAAATATTGCGATAATCATTATTATGCTTATGCAAACTAGTAACCAGGAATTCCGGCCCAAATACTGACTCATTTCTTCCCACTCAAATCAGGTCAAACAGTACCAACCAGTCAGTTAAGGGGTATTTATTCAAAGTATCTTTCTATCCGATCAAAAAAACATTTCGGAAGGATTACAAACCCTTAAATAAAACTGAGATCCCAAGAAATCCAAGACCGTTTTTTCGAAGGAAGACCTTAACTTTTCTAATATTTCCATCGAAAAATATCCACCCATATAATGAATCAGTGCTTCAGAAGAACGGAATTGCACAGCACTCGGCACGGCAACTATAATATTCCGTATAATGCATATATATGTATCAGAACAAAATGTTATAATTGTCTGATAACTGCTATATACAATCTACCAATCATACGAAAATTACAATTTATTCCAATCAGAATTAAACAAATGATAAATACGACAAATTTTATCAGTTTTGCAGTATTCAGCAATGATGACAATAATACTAGAAATCATATGCAAGTGTTTCTTTCTGCAGATTTTCTAAACGTAATTTTTAAAAATTGCTACAGCAAATACACGTAGCAGAAAACTGACTAAGTTCTGCTCTGTTTTCAATTTTTGAAAAACACCTGAACCAGTTTTCCGAAATTTCGAAAAGAATATATTAGCAGTTATTAAGCGAAAAAAAAAAAAGATGAATACTATCAATATAAAATACAAAGACAACAAAGCCAAAAGTTGCAGAATTAAACTACAAAGAAGTAATAAGATTACCGTTAATATGCATGCAAATTTTACATTGCGTAAAACTTTCTATGATAAACAGTACTAATCAAACGGTGTAATAAGTTTTTCTGTAATCTGTAGTAAGAAAACATTCAGCGAACTTACAATGTTATAAAAAATGAATATTGGAGAAATGAAATTTGAATTGCAAAACTACCCATGACAATGTCTTGTAAACATACACAAAAAAATCAGTTGCAAAGAAATAAGTATTGAGATGAACGCAATAAAATGAAAAAACCAAATTACAAATGTGCAAAGACAACAGAAGCGAAAGGTTTCTTCACTTCAACAATGTACTTTCTCGACCATGATCATCGCAAGTTGTTATCATAGTACTAAGGAATTTAACATCTTGTTTCATAAAGTCCTGATCTGCCTATGTAACGCACCCACTTGATGACATCGTGATCCGAATAATTCAATTTTGGTTCAAAAACTTTCAGATATCTCACTTTCAAACCTGATGGAGCAAATGGTACCTGGAAAATACTCCAATGATAATGCCTTCTGCCAACGACAAAGAAATACAAATTTATTTTTAATCTTCGTTCAATTCCAAGAAATTACCTCGAAGTTCATTGATACAGGAGGACGGTTCCACTTTTTCTTTTCAGAGTTACCTGTACTCAAAATATCAATTTCAGCAGAAATTTGAGATTCTTTTAACCCGCCCATACGCTTGATTCTGAAAAGTGAAACCGGTTTTTCTTTTTGATACATGTAGTGCAAATACAGTATTCTAAAACTACGTCCAATACTTTGAACACTAAAAAAGAATGAGATTACCAATTTGTATTTTGTCCGAGAACTAACTGACACATAATAACAACATCAGTCCTAACAAACCACCAATCTCCCTTAAGCTTTTAGTGCGATATGCTGATCTTAATAAGTTGATCTTAATCGAATAAGACTGGTTTGTTCCACCATGCTGATGGAGGCTAATAAAATGGTGCAGAGGCAAACAATGAAATTGCTTGTTACGGAAAAATCCGCTCGACTTCGCAACTTTACATCTTGCTTTTAATTTAAAACAAATAAGTAGATTTATGTGAAATGAAATAACGCAACAGTAAAACCAAACTAGGGTCAAACAATTGAGAATCAAAAAAGACGACATATATTGAATTTTTCCATTTGATCATTTAATAACAAGATTTAATTTGTAACAGTTGAAACATCTAGAACAGTAAAAAACTAACTTCCAAACGATTGCATTCTCGCCAGCTTTGTACTTAGCTTTACCTTTCATACAAATTAACTGTACTCCACTAGTATTCGGAGGAGTAGGTATGCGAACTTCGATTTTCTGCGCCAGAAGTGATGGTTTAAAGTTTGATTTCACAACTACTTTTACCTATAAAATGCCGAATATAGTTCATAATGCAACAAAATGGTGTATTGGTACACTAAGTAATATCGAACCAGAGCAAATGTATTTTCACGATTTTCAAGTAAGCCAACAAAATACCCCGTATTGATGCATTAACAAAAAGAAACTACAAGGTTTCAATAATCAACTAAAGATGGATTTAATCTGACAAAAATCCAAAAGACGACATTTGCAATCTTAAAACGCAAAAGAAACAGCTTAAATTTTTATACCTCCATTTTGTTTCTGGAAGTTTCTCGAACAAGCGGAATGACTCGAAATGGAAGCTGTATGTCCTTGGTTGTGCGGTATCTGCAAAAGAAAATACATTACGTTAAAGAATACTTAGTCACATATGAGAACACTGATCTACGAAAAGGTAAGAAATCATACCTCATAAGTTCATACTCTCCATCAGGTGGAATAAAACTTATAGCATGTTCGGTATCAAATTTGGTTAATTTAACACACTGATGGAATTGGCAATCATCAATTGCTACAGAAATACGTGCCCTGCAACACAGAATCTACTTCACAACAATACTTTCAAATTATAACCACCATTACACTGCTCTTAGTTGGAAAAACAAACGATTTGGTAGGATCATCAGCACCAGCACGTCCTTTACCCTCAATGGTAAGCTTGTCATTAATTCCAAACTTGCATTCCGGCATTCCAGATAAGTATGACTTCATTGCCACTTTTCCAGCAACATGCGCTGACAAAACTTGCCCTAAATCAATTTATAGATTCGCAAGGAGATATATCAGAATATTAGGTAAAATAGCCTTCCATAGTTTGTAGTACTAATTTAAATACCTTGCTGAGACATAAGGAGATTAACATATTCGATAACATCCAAAAACAGTTCATTTCGACGATACTTTATGCCTTCACGACGCCACCCTATTTGCCCCGTTACCTGCGACGTAATCTGTGCTTGTTCTTCTTTACTCTGAAATTAGTAAACTTGTAGCCATTTGAAAGAAAGCATAAATGCAGAAGAGACAATTTCCATTTATACAACTATGAAGAACTACACGAAACAACAATGAAAGCAACTTATAAACATGAAAAATTGAAACAATGCACAGCAAACAACTAGCTGTCTTCTATAATGTAGATTCATAAGAAACTTACCACCGGTGCCTATGTATGGAAATTACAATCATAATATAGCTCCAGAACCAAGACATAATGAAATAATATATTCAAGATTTTTTACAAATATACAACTTTCCAGTATAACCAAAATGAACAGAAAAACGAGAAAACGAGAAAAAAAAAAAGAAAAAGGAACACACTGCTGTTCTAACGCCTTGTTGTGTAATGAACGTCTTTAAAACTCCAGGATCTGTATTTTGTGGATAACCAAAATCAAGGATCTCTGCAAAAAGAACGCTGCATGGACTTGAGAATCCCATGAAAGGTCAAAATTATTTACTACAGCGATTGAAATGAATCTATTAACAAAAGTCATACTACTTTTCGAAATGTCTCTAAACATTAAAAGTCGTACAATTAGATAAATTATTAGGTTACAAAATGGAAGATAACACAAACTTTTCATAGTCATGCAGCAGTGAATGCAAAAAGTTCTAGTCGTGAACTAGTGTAAAGGAAAGAATTAGCAAAGTTTCTGTGAGTGCAGCACAGAAAAAGCATACCATCCAGAAGCTCGTAGATGAGAACGAAGTTATTTTTAACATTTTCTTCATTCAGTTTTCCAAAGTATGACTGCATGGTGTCCGCAAACCTTCAAAAAATTAAATTTTTTTTTTTAATGTGTTTCAAATACGAATGAAAAACTAACCTGTTTAGAAATTCAAAGACCATTGCAGCATTGATATTTTGTCGTGTCACTGCACAAATCCAAACATTACCTCGCTTTATGTGGAAAAATGATGTTCTAGCCATATTTGTTACCGGACTCCGTACCTTAACAAACCATACATTTGGTAAATTAATATTTTGGTAAATGATATAGCAGCAGCACACAGCAAAACATAAGTGTAAATTCTACAATTCGTGAAAGATTTGCAAATAAAAATAAAGAGAGTACTTGCTGCCGCGCGTGAATAACGTTAACTCGAAAAGCGTCCACTGCATTTCGACTGAAACAATAATACAAGATACTTAAGCATTCAGAAATGTTCAGTCAATGCAATTTCAACTCTTAAACATAAAAAATAAAAGTGATAAAAGTTAATCAGAAATCGAAGGTCAGACTTTCTCACTATCAGACTCACTTATTACATCTCTCCTCTCTTGCATTTTCATGGAAAAAATTTTTAAATAAGTCTTACATATGTCTTACCTGACGTCATCTCGATAAATACGCGAGATAAGCACTTCACCCTTATGATTATAAACGAATAAACCACCAATCATCACTGACTATGCACAGATCTAGAACAACTACACAGGGCCGAAAAAATGCGAACTATTCAATAATGAAAGACAGCCAGTTAATTTGGAAAATACAAAAATATAGTGTGTGACACAGTAAAAATGAAGAAAAGCAATTTCGATGAAAGAAATTCGAAGAATGCAATCGTACAAAGAATTTTTGAAATGTGTTCCGGTAATGGAGAACCATATCTATGCTTAACTAATGTTAGCTATCGTCACACAATGAAGGAAGTGATTTGTGTGAGCACTCTGACAGAAATATGCGAATCAAAGACTGGGAGGGAAAAAACTCCTGAACAATACTGAAAGGCAATCTCTTGCAAATCCAGTCTTTGTAAAGATGGCGCAGACTTCTTGTACTACGGTCATTTAAACCTGTAGCAATAATAGCTAATAGTCTTCTACCACCACTTCTGAACCCAACTGTCGGGATAACAGTTAAAACACAAAGTCAATGTTTTAGCAATTTATCTCCAAACCAGTCGGTACAGTACCATCAAAATTTCGAGATTGCTCGTTGAAGTTGTAGCACTTTTGTCGATGCTTTTATAAATCTCTTCCTTTATAAATCGTCTTCCTTATCTTCTTCTGTTAAGTTTCCTTGTAAAGGTAGTTGTGAAGATCGTGCAGTATGGTTGCTTCTTTCAATGTGTTTTGATGTAAAGTATTACTAGTGTTTTCTGCACGAAATCGTTATGAAAGGAAGTACCTGTGCTACAGTCAGCTATGAATAATCAAGATTCATTGAGTATTCTTAATAAAACTGGACAAAAATGGCTTCATTATTTCTTTTTGACGGGATGATAATGCTTATGATGGCCTGTTTTTTTTTTTAAAAGTTGCCTCCATACGACACGCCTAGCAAAATTTCTAGCGCCACCGATCATTCCTGGATGAAGTTTTGAAAAACATTGCGAGTGAAAATCTCGAGGAGCTGACAAAACCATTTCTCAAGAAAGGAGAACTTCGTGGAACACAATTCCAATGAGAACTTTGTGGCAAGTTTCAACCTGCTTCTTTGTCTTGCTAAAGAAAAAACATGATTTTTTTTCTCTCCAAAAGTTTTCCAGTGAAAAGTCTTGTTTTCTTTTTTTCAGCATAGAAACATCACTTTAATAAAACTGCAAATCGTCTCAAATTTTCCGTTATAAATATGACTAGAAATAGTGGCGTTTATGAAATTATGTTTTTTCAGTTCATTTGACCATTCCAGCATTAAGCACTGATTTTTTTCACGATAGTTCGAACCATGACTTCGTAGTAAGGTTGGTTTTCTCATACATTTCTAAACTTCGCCCTGTTGTTCACTACATTTGTTAGAGGAAGTTCATTAACCTAAAAAGTTATTTAAAAAAAGACATGGCTCACAGTATACTGATATTTGGCATGCTGAAAGTATAATGGTAGTTAAGATTAGATCAAGGGAAATAATGATAAGAATGCGTTGAAAAACCGGGAAGAGGAATACAATAAATTAATGGATGATTAATAAGGAGGAGAAGAATCACACTACTACTTAGCGATGTCGTTTCTTTTTTTCTTTTTATAAATTTTAACTATTGTTTAACTGCAGTACTTTGCAACTGCTGATCACGGTGACTTAACAAAACCAGTCACTAAACACTATGGATAATGGTTGGGATGAGTTATTTAAGAAGAGTTTGATATCTATTGAGTATCAAAAGAATTATTAAAATAAGATAGTTTCGTGAAGTCGTGTCTTATTACGACATTATATTTTCAATCTCACTAAATTGTAAATGGAGGAATTGTATTTTGTATCAACATTTCTTTGTATATTGTTTTGCAACTGTTGTATATGGGATCTGTGAATTTGAATTAAGTTTTTGATCAGAAGAGTAGTTGATTTAAATTAGTTAAGTTCACTTGACTTACTTTAAGTTTGTAGAACTTGAACTGAACCTTTTGCTTCCTATCAGATATGATTTATTTTCTTTATAAATGTGAATCGATACAATATACAGTCGAATAATTGAAACAGCGAAGGAATAAATGGTACTGTTATCCTTTCTTTTTTTATTAACTGATTAGAGAAGATTTTTAAGGGTGTAGAAAGTGGGCTGGGATGGCTTAGCAGATTAACATTTACAGTGAAGACAGATGTACATTTACTATTTGAGGTTTAGATAAAGAATTCATTGTTTCAAAAAAAAAAAAAAAAAAATGGAGTATAGCAAAGGAATAACGAATTGATTTATAGTAATAAATCATTGGCATTATTCTAAACACAGCGTGTAATAAAAATTTTTCAGTTTTCCGACAGGATCTAGCAGTCATATGAAATGCAATATTCAAAAAAGACAGTTCATTCCGCAGTTTCGAGGATAACAAATTCCTGATGTTTAAAAAGAACATAGAAAAAAAAATTTGTTAGAAAAATCAGATGAATTCTGATGGATGAATTGACTGGTCTAGTTAGCTGGTTATTAGAACGTAGTCACGAGAAAAAAATCATACCTATTCCGAAAGTAGCACAGCAGATATTCCTCTGAATATTATTCACACAGCCTTCAAGGATGGTGATGAGACGTTGACTCGTTAAATACAACTTTTTTTTAAATCAACATGATCTCGAATTTAAAAGCATCCAGTAGAAAATGATTATTCGATAGAGAAGAAATTTTGGTGGAGTCACTATGTATATAGTACCATAAAAACTTTTCCTGGCTGAATTTCAACAATACAATCTGTATTTTACTTCTCAGTTTTGGTAAGACAAAATGCACGGATGTCGCTGATTATATGACTCATGTTGAGGAAATATTGAAGAAGGCAAGTATTTATGTTTTGTTTCAGTTTTTCCTCATTAGGATAATGGTCTTTTTATGTTCAATTTTAAGTTTAATGATTCTTATTTTTAGTTTTTCCCAAAATCTCGTAAAATTTTATGTTTCACGTATGAGGAATACTTAACTGAATTTGAATTAGAAATAAAATGCACACAGAGCGAAGGAAAAAACCAAATTATGGTTATTATAAATAATGCGTCCTATGTTATTGTTTCTTACCCTACTGGTCCAAAAGTGATACTAGGTTTATTGATCAAGAAGTCCTAAAGTATAAACGTGAATATTACTAACGAAAAGAAATAATCATTTGGTTAATAATATTATTGTATTTCAAGTGATGCAAAAGCGAACGAATTTCGGACGTTATCAGCATATGGTATTCTGCTCTTAAAATTAATGTTGATTTCCGCGAGATATTCATAATTTCAAGTCAAAAAATATCAGTCAGTGTAGCACAATTTCTGGTAATAGTACAGCTGCTGATTTAACATAGCAAGTATCTTCTAAGAAATGTGTCTTTTACTAGTCTCCAGTCAGTTTTATTGTTTCACAGTTTATATTTTTTAACCTACCTAAAAAATAAAAAAACAAGCAAATTTGCTTGTAGGTATTGTCACCGCCTAAATCGACAGTTGAATTTTGATATTCATTGCTTTCTTTTCTAATAGAGAGCTTACTTTCGGTAGATTAGATATTTCAGGAAAATTTACTTTTCTTGTCAGTTCGAGAAATTATCCTTCAATAAAAATATAATAAAAAGAAATACTCAAAATTAATTGAATTGTCTATTGTAGAGCGAAATCTACGATGTTTTGATTCTTGAATAAGTATCATGCATATGCTGCATAAAGGTTGCTATAATTTTATACATATCATTATTTATCAGAATGAAGTAATGTCTCACTAAAGAAGTAATGTCTCACTAAAGGAATAAGCTATCAATTATGCTACTCCTATATTAGACCGCATGTTGGACATATGGCCCAGAATAAATAATATTATCTATCTTTCTGCCTTATCATTACCATTTGTACTATATTTCAATATTCCACTTCACATTAGGAAATTCAGACATTTTAAATCTGAGAATAAAAATTCGGTTTTTTCTTGTTATTTACTAACAAACTGAATAGCCAATAATAAATACCGGGCAAACTACTAACCAGTAAAAATAAATAGTTTTGAACTATGCTTGAAAAATTGGTGTGAAAGAAGTATTGGAGAGATTTCCTTCCATTTCCTTATTGCTTCTTGAGAAGTCCAACCTTTTTATACTTAAGAGGGAAGTAATGCTAAGTCAGGTTTAGCTAAGAAGTGCGTTCAGCAGAAACATTACATGCTACAGAAAAAGGATCCAATTATGAACTAGCATTTTCAATGTCTTTACTACTTTGAAAGATAAAGATAACTATCATGTGTAGATAGTCAACATTTTATTGAAATTTTCAGTAATGATATCAGTAAGCTGTGTGCTATGGAATGAATATATCTCAAGATATCATGAATGTTTTTGAACGCACAGCTTTTAGTATTGCATCCATTAGCATAGAGAAATGAAATCCATATAAAAGTCTCATTGTATAAAAATTCAAGAGTAATATAGTTCGGAATGGCATCACAATTACTTTATAATCATATTAATCCAACATTATCTTAATGATTTTCAGTAATTCAAGCCTATATGCTATATGGCCATTTTAATATAACTAATGGTTTCATGAACTGTCAGCCAGCTCTATTAGTGAAGACTGTTAGTTACCGCACTGCATTTGTACATCTGGTGATCGTATATATAATTCTACCATCCAAGTATTTATCTTAACAGTAACATTTTCGAATTTTGATAGTTTTTCTAATTCGGAATTCTTTTTTCTCCCCTTCTATAAGATTCGAAATTTTACCAGTAAATAACCTATATTTATATCGAGAAAGCCACATCTATGAGCAATGTTGCTTACCTTTAATATTCGGTCAGGTAAACTGATATGTTGGACTTACTCAAAAATTTTTTTAAGTTTTCGTTAAACTTTTTTTAAGTGAAATAATAGACTCAGTAACAATAAATAACGAACATTGTTATTCATAATAAAAAACTGGTAATTTTTAATATTAACAAATCATGACTGCTTTAGTGATAACAGTTGAAAACAACAATATTTGTATTTATTA